CCTAGAATGTTGATCTATCTGGGACAGAGCAAAGGGTGACCACACACACACACACACACACACACACACACACACACACACACACACAGAGCAGAGCATACAGATCTGATGTACACCTAATTCCTTGCACCAGGGGACTTTCCCATCCTGCTGATAATTTCACGTAGGTTCATTTCAACTATGCTATGTAATCTCTTTGAATGGCAAAACCCATGGGATGTCCATATTATCTTTTTTCAGGCTGATTAATCTCTCCAGTACCCAGAGCTTCCTGGAACATCAACCTAATTCTTCTAAATGTTAAAAGAAGAAAAATTCTGACACTTCATATGAAACAGCATAACTTAAAAAGCACAACAAAAGTCAGAAAGATGGTGGTGTGACTTATAAGAAAGTGCTTCTCAAGAAAAATAAAATAAAATCCATGGCAAGGAACAACAGCAGTCAGTCTAATGTGCCTTAATATATGGATCTCTACTGTACTTATTTGAGATTCTTTGGAAAGGGTATTCAGTTCCCAAACAAGCATATTTCCCCCCCTCTTTCCTTCTTGGAAGACCCAGTTTATCATCTTTAATTCATGAAAAGCTACCTCAGATACAAGGCAGGAAGATGCCGGAGTGCTGATGCAAGACTGTCAACATGATAGACGCTTTAATTGGCAGGACGTCCTCTTGTTCCGGCTGCTGGAAGAACTTCAATATTACTATCTTATTACCCTCCACAAAGTGGACATATCCTTGAAGGTACCGATTACCAAAATTACCAAATTTATGAAGAGTTTGGGCCGACTTACCTTTTGGATGCCATGGATCTGTAAACTCGTATTTCCCCACACCAACAGTTCGTAGCATCTGCACCCCATTTGTGTTGTCCTGATTGCCCGTCGAGTTAGGAGGAAGCTGAGGAGCAGCCTGCCCATTGGTGGCTGGAACACTATTAGGTAGGGCAGCTGAAGGCAAAGCAGGTGGTGGTGGAGGCAGGATAGGACAAGTCATGTGACCATTCCCTACTGCCCCATGGCCTGGGTGAGTCACCTGACCAACCCCAGTCATAGAAGACATAGTAATGGGTTGACTGTTTGTGTACAAAGGCTGGCTTTGCAGATTCACAACCATGTTACTGAGAGGCCGTGAAGGCTGCTGCGGAAGCTGGTAATGAGCTGGCATTAATGGAAGCTGGGGGGTAACATGTGGAGGGAGTGAGGGTGTGACTCCAATGACAGGGGCTTGGACGTTGACTGCTGGGCTGAAGGTCGGTGGCTGATTCATCCCATAAGAATGAGTTATGAGAGTTGGTTGGCTACCTGCTGCAACTGTTGTAACCCATGGAGCTGTACCTGGAAAAAGGAAAGCTAGCAATAAGAACAATTTTTGCAAAAGGTCACCCCCCAAAATAGCTCCCTCTGCAAATGTGATTCTGTTGAATCTGTCCCCTTCTCTCTTATAACGAGAGGGATGGACTGACATCAGTCCAAAATGGTAAGTGCAAAGCAGTAAATGCTATAATACGGCAGGAAAGCATCAGCGTTAAAAATCCTGATCAACGTGTAAGACACTATGTTTACAGTTTTCTGTAATTTTCTGCTTCCAAGAAAATTAACCTCTTTCTCCAATGTGTTTTTGTGTCTCCCTGACAATCACTCAGTGTGCATAATAGCCATGTTCCAGCCACTACAAAAAGATTATAATTAGATGCCTGGCGAAGCTGGATGTGTCAGGAAGCTGGAAAATATTTCAGGTGGCTCTGGACACCAAAAGAGACTTTATGTATTAAACACAACTAGATAACACCACAACCACAGGACCTAAACCTAAAAACCAGGGGGATTTTATTATTATTCTGGCACAGGATAAACAGGAACAGAACGGGCAGAAGAAAGAACTTTTAACAAATTTGCAGCATTTTAATTTGTTTGAATTAGCCATGGCATAGGAATAACCTGAAGAGGTTTTGTATCTAGAAAGCAAAGCCAGCTGCGATATTAAAAAAAGGACTCACGATAAAGCCTTATTTAGAGTGGAATTGGAAAGAGCATATTGAATTTGCTTTGAACAATTTTCTCCAGCAGAATTGCAAATAAGGCTGAAAGTATACCTGGGTTTTCGGTCTCCCTCATTTGTTTAGATGGTGGCTCATCTGTATCCCAGGGAGTAGACTGATTGATGGGTGTCTGTCCCCACCTTACACTGGTTGCTAATCCTTGTGGTTGATTATCTGTCTTGGAAATGGAAAGTGTCTGCCAGAGAATGAAAGAAAACATATCGAAATTAGACATATACACTCAGAATCCTTATGGTGCTTTTCATGTTTTTGTATAAAGTTTTATATTGCATTTAACTAGGGCACGGGTGTCAAACTCAATCACATCATGGGCCAGATCGTGATGCATCACAACGTTTTTTGTCTTTGGGTAACCAGGGTGAGTGTGGTCTGTGCATGACCCATCTGGCCTGTGGGCTGCCAGTTTGACACCCCTGAACTAGGTCAACATTAGACAGAGCAAGCTAAATATCTATTTTTATTGTTTGGAAGGTATTATGATTAATCCAACAACTGTTACCTTAAGGCGGCTGTGAAAAGAACACTTCCACTCCCAATGTAATTACTTGCCAGGACACTCAGTATGTCCCACTAAAGAATTTCTGCACTGTTACTATCAATGTGCAAAGTATTAGATAATTCACCCCGAATAGCATTTCTTACTCATCAGAGTTATCTGACTTTGCCCAAATAAATTTTTTAGCTATCTAGGGGCCATAATTTCATGCTGGGATTTTTTTCTGCATTGTCCCTATTCCAATAATGAAAAAGCAAATGCCATTTTTCAAGAAATAGGCATTCTCCAAAAGTCAATTGAGATGTTAACGAGGCTTTATTGCATAAGAATCTTTAAAATTGAACTAATAATACATGAAGACAATAGAAGTTGCACCAATTTCATACTGGCTATTTTTCTGGGTATTAAAAGAAATGAGCGGAAAAGAGTAAGGTTCTATGATACAAGCAAAAAGACAGCTTTATATAAATATCCAAAGAAAAATAAATATTTAATAGGATAACCAAGGTGCTTCTCAGTTTCTCCTTATGTCTTTGCCAGAGAAGCGAATTAGGCTTTCAGTATTATATTCCTCCCTGCACAAATACAATAACAATATAGACCAGCGATGGCAAACCTTTTTTGGCTTACGTGCCATAAGCGTGGGGGGAGCGCAGGGGGGGTCGTGCATGGGCGTGCTGCACTCATAATGCAATGCGCGACCCCCCAGTGCGCATGCGCGCATGACAGGTGTGACCCCCCATTTTTTGCATGCTTTTTTCATCCTGCCCAGGGTCCAGAGACTTTATAGGAGCCTGGGGAGGGTGAAAACAGCCTCCCCCCCCCGGAGGCCCTCCAGAGCCTTCAGGGACCTTCAGGAAGCTTCCCTGAAGGCTCCGGAGGGCTTAAACTGACCCTACGAGCAAACTGGAAGTCCGTTCCTGAACTTCCGGTTTGTCCATAGGGCTGTTTTTTTGCGCTCCGGAGGCTTTAGGGAAGCTCCTGAAGCCTCCGGAGGGCCTGGGGGGGGGGGCGGGGGGAGGCGGGTTTCGCCCTCCCCAGGCTCCTCTAAAGCCCTCGGGGCCTGGGGGGGGGGGCAGGAGAGGCTGTTTTCGCCCTCCCCAGGCTCCTATAAAGCCTCTGGAGCCTGGGGAGGGTGAAAAATGGCTTTAA